GGTCTCGCTGTTTGGCTTTCTGTACGTGGGTCAGATCTTTGAATAAAATTAGGACATTATTAATAAAAAGTAATAAAACAAATATTACAATTACTGCACTTTATATGTATAAAGAAATATACAACGATGTAATTATATGTATTTTTACGAGTCTGGAATCTGTTGCATTGTTGTTTTTGAGATTCACAGAATTAAATAGTTGGGAGCTTCTGGTCTAGGAGCATTTTATGGAATTAGAGAAAAAGCTTCTTAACTCATTTAGAGATTACATGATGCAGAACGTTTTGCCTATGAAGATTCTCAGTCATCCAGGTCTTAGTAATTCCAAAAAACAATCCACTGGATTTGTTTCTAAGTTTGAAGACGTTTCTCTTCCCATTTAGCCTTGTTTTTGGAATGAGGGTTGTTTAGCTTCTCTGAAATACAGGTGCTGGTCATAAAATTAGAATATCATGAAAAAGTGGATTGATTTCAGTAATTCCATTTAAAAAGTGAAACTTGTATATTATATTCATACATTACATACAAACTCATATATTTCAGATGTTTATTTTGTTTAATTTTGATGATTACCAATTACAACAAATGAAAATCTCAAATTCATCATATCAGAAAATTAGAATATTGTGAAAAGGTTCAAAATTGATGGCCCCTGGTGCCACACTCTAATCAGCTAATTAACTCAAACCACCTGCAAAAGCCTTTAAATGGTCTTTCAGTCTAGTTCTATAGGCTACACAATCATGGGGAAGACTGCTGACTTGACAGTTGTCCAAAAGACGACCATCGACACCTTGCACAAGGAGGGCAAGACACAAAAGGTCATCGCTAAAGAGCCTGGCTGTTCACAGAGCTCAGTGTCCAAGCACATTAATAGAGAGGCGAAGGGAAGGAAAAGATGTGGTCGAAAAAAGTGTACAAGCAAGAGAGATAACCGCACCCTGGAGAGGATTGTGAAACAAAACCCCTTCAAAAATGTGGGGGAGATTCACAAAGAGTGGACTGCAGCTGGAGTGAGTGCTTCAAGAACCACCACACACAGACGTATGAAAGACATGGGTTTCTGCTGTCGCATTCCTTGTGTCAAGCCACTCTTGAACCACAGACAGCGTCAGAAGCGTCTTGCCTGGGCTAAAGAGAAACAGGACTGGACTGCTGGTGAGTGGTCCAAAGTCATGTTCTCTGATGAAAGTAAATTTTGCATTTCCTTTGGAAATCAAGGTCCCAGAGTCTGGAGGAAAAGAAGAGAGGCACTTCATCCACGTTGCTTGAAGTCCAGTGTAAAGTTTCCACAGTCAGTGATGGTTTGGGGTGCCATGTCATCTGCTGGTGTTGGTCCATTGTGTTTTCTGAGGTCCAGGGTCAACGCAGCCACATACCAGGAAGTTTTAGAGCACTTCATGCTTCCTGCAGCTGACCAACTTTTTGGAGATGCAGATTTCATTTTCCAACAGGACTTGGCACCTGCACACAGTGCCAAAGCTACCAGTACCTGGTTGAAGGACCATGGTATCCCTGTTCTTAATTGGCCAGCAAACTCTCCTGACCTTAACCCCATAGAAAATCTATGGGGTATTGTGAAGAAGAAGATGCAATACACCAGACCCAACAATTCAGAAGAGCTAAAAGCCACTATTAGAGCAACCTGGGCTATCATAACACCTGAGCAGTGCCACAGACTGATCGACTCCATGCCACGCCGCATTGCTGCAGTAATACAGGCCAAAGGAGGCCCAACTAAATACTGAGTGCTGTACATGCTCATACTTTTCATGTTCATACTTTTCAGTTGGCCAACATTTCTATAAATCCTTTGTTTTTATTGGTCTTCAGTAATATTCTAATTTTCTGATATGATGAATTTGAGATTTTCATTTGTTGTCATTTGTAATCATCAAAATTAAACAAAATAAACATCTGAAATATATGAGTTTGTATGTAATGTATGAATATAATATACAAGTTTCACTTTTTAAATGGAATTACTGAAATCAATCTACTTTTTCATGATATTCTAATTTTATGACCAGCACCTGTAAGTGTTTAGAGAGGGACGTAAAGGAAACCATGGGGCATTGCAGGCTAACAAAGAAGCCAAACGACCCCCATTCCAAAGGGGTGGACCCGTTCATCCGTTTGAATTCGCATGTTTTCTAAACAAACACAAAGCTGTTTTAAAGGCATTTTGAATTAAAAACTCTTCCTGGATGGGAAGAGAAACGTCTTCAAACTTGGAAACAAAGTCCATTGGATTGTTTACCTTTCTTGGAACCATTAAAGATTACTATAGTCATCTTATATGAGCAATTATGTCTGTAAAATAATTAGTCTTCAATAAAAAAAAAGGGCGGCTCTGTTCTGGAAATTCCAATTAAAATGAATTTATAAAGAAAATTTCTTCACAGAATAAATTAAAACCGTGAGCATCCGCTTTAGAAGGTTGTTGAACAAAAAGTTCAGTCAGAGGCGTCTCCAGAGCCGCCGTAAAACGGACTGCAACATTAACATTTTAAAACAACCCACTGCAAAAATACAATTACATCACCAGTTTATCCCACTCAGAATCTAGAAAGTATTTTAGAAAATATTTCAAATAAATTTTAAATGCATTTGCATCAAAAACTAAAGAAAGAAGAAAACTACATTATTAATAAATTAAAAAAATGTTTTCATGCCTTTCATTTTTTTATTTATGATATTACCTTTGCTACTGCGATTTTATTTTACTTATACACAACAATACAGTTAAAGTCTAACCTTTTTTATTTAATTTTATTGTACCTTTAGAAACTCAAACCTAAATAACACAGGGGGAAAAAAGAGACATTAAAATGACACCTTCTTCTTTTGCTAGAGTTAAAGTTAACACTCTGAGTCATGAGAAAAAACCTGTAAACAAACATGACAAATTCCTCACAAATAAATAGGATTTTTTCTTGAGAGCTTAAAATAACCCTCCAGGAACGGCCACTGCAGCATAGTATCCAGGCAACTGATGACAAGTGATACGGATTTCACCCGCTTCATCCAGCCACTCAGATGCACAGAGGTGACCCTGCACAAATATGCACCGACAAACACGCAATCCGACACTTCTGGAGTAGATAATAAAGGGGCTGCAGAAAAAAACAAAAAAACAACTAACTCTTAAGAACAGTGAAAGCTGTGACATCACTTGCTTCTTATTTATCTCCTACAGTCCGAACCACAGTTCAGTGTCACCTGGAAGCACGTTTGCAGACAAACTGTGATGTAAAGTGTGCATTATTTTGTGTTGCAGGAACCAACTGCGGTCATGCTCTAAAACTCACAACACCTGGGACAGATGGTACGGCATAAGGTAAAGCTTTTTGCCTATAAAGGGGGAGGCTGGCAGGTGCTCGGCTTAATTTTGGTCTGACTTTGCAGGGACGTCATTAAAATGTTTTAATTGAATGTTTTGTTTTTTAATGTAAGAAGGAAAATGGAAACACAACTCAGTGTGTGACAAATGCAGTTAAAGACATAGGGATTTTTTTTACTATAAGATCTTATAAAAATGTGTCATTATTAAAACAGAGAACAGCAGTCAGTAGGAAAAGGTGTGAGAATAACTGACTGATAGGTTAAAGAAACTTTAAAGAGAAGCAGAAAGTTCTAGTAGCATGACAATAGTGGGTAATTTAGATACAGGCCTTTAGAATCCAATATTATTATTTTGGCTAATATATCCAATATCAATATCGGATCAGGACACTCCTAGGCCGTTTCTCAATATGCGTGACACGTCATCAGCCTCAGCACTGTTCCAATTACCGAGAACGCACCAAATCCCCAGATGTTGTTCTCGCCCCGCCCTCTTTTACCCAGCATGCATCAGAGCAGACTTGTCCGCTCTTTAGATTGACAGCTGTCCCAACATGCACTGCGGCGGCAGCAGCTTTCCATGGAGCGCTCCGTTGAAAGTTAAAAGTTCTCTTTTCTGTTGTTGTTGTTCAATAAAAGTACGTTTTAAGATAATTTGAGGCGAGAATATTATACTTTAAAGCAGGGGTCACCAACAAGGTGCCCACGGGGACCAGGTAACCCCCAAGGACCACATGTGGTGCCCTCAAGTTTGCTCTAAAACTAGCACAACCTTCCAGTGAGCTGCCTCTAAAATGTTATTTGAGTGAGTCTGTTGCTCTACGTTTGTAACCACACTGACACTTCTACAGATTTAAAAATGAGAATATTTAAATTAAATAAAGCATTGCAAATATGTGATTTGGTAAGCGCTGACCCTTGTAGTTCAAAGGTCAGTATTGGTAGCCCCTTCACGTGACACGGTACCAATGAAGTAGCTCTCAGTTTAAAACAGGATGGGGACTCCTGCTTTAAAGAGTCACTATATGGCCCATTAACCGATTTAATGCGGGATAAAAAAAAAGATTTCGTAAGTTGAGAGGACCGCGGCACCAGCGGAGTTCCAAAGCTAATGGCAGCCAGGGCTATCCGCAGCCCGTCCATAGCAGCCCTCTCTCTGCATAGCTGCGTGTGAAGGACCGCTGGCTCTGATGGCGATTTTTTTATTTTTTATTTGCCAAAGTGTTCATTTGATTTGGTTTATCTGACTGTGTTCATTATTATTCCCCCACTAAATTAAAAAAGTCATAATTTTTTATTATCTAGAGACTATTAATAACAGGAGGTGAAATGCAGCTCCAGACGAGCCGAGCAGGTGGTGATGTCATCAGTACGCTTCTGTTCCAATTGGCCCATATTTATTCTGCATGTTCCCGTTCTCTCCAAGTCCAGACTTCCTGTGTTCTTCTCAAGAACAGACTTGGCGAGGACACGAGTCCGTACTCACGTTCTAGTGAACTGAGAAACGGCGCTAGTTTCTAAATTCTCTGTCTGAAAAGGTGGTTTCCATTTCCATGGTTACATGTGGCAGTACCCTCTACAGAGAATAATATGAACAGGTGTTACAAACAATCCCGCTTTAGCAATGAGAGCCTGAAGGTCGTTAAATTCCCTACCTGAGTCAGAGCTGTACATGTAGACAAACTTGGTCCATCCATAGTGCTCGATGACTCCCACCAGAGCGTCCTGCAGTTCAGGCCTCAGCTGGATCACAAACTGGTTAGCGGTCTCGATGGGGAAGGACGGCGTGACGAAGCAGACATGAAGCGCTCCGCAGAACGACATCAGCATGTTGACTGTCTTCCTGTCATAGAGGCCGATGATGGCGTACACGCCTTTGGAGAACTGGGAGCAAACTGGGAGAAAAAAGAGAATGGAAGTCAATTAAATAAACAGTAAAGGAAAAGATTATCTGATAGACGACAAGAGTATCAGAGGTCAACGAGGAAGAAAAATAAAAATAAATCGCAGGTCTGAAAAAGCCATATAAAAACTTCATAGACTAAACTGTTCTTTATAATATACTGGCTATCCTCCAGTAAGATCACTTTTATAATGAAACATTTCCCAAATACTGTTATCAATCAGCATCATTAAAATATCTTTACATTTTCTTCATTAAACTGCTTCTCTGACATCATCATGGGAAATGGTCAGAGCAGTCAGGCAAAATATGATTAAACCGTGTTTATCTGCATTTTAGTTTGCTTTTTAGATTACGCACTATATAGCATAATGTTAACACAAAAGGAAACATAAAACTAAAAAAAGACTAGATTTATGTTTTACTCCAAAGCCGAAACATTTACTGCGCTATGTTATTCCACGTCACAACGCCAGAGGGCCAATCAGGGACTAGCTGTGGGTCTAGATACGGCCGAGGCGGTGAGGAAGTGGAGCAAGTTTGTGCGACAATGGAGGGAAATGAGGGCCAAAAAGAGCGGGGATCAAGGTGGAAAAAGGGTCCCAGCGTTCTCGCGCACCTCGCTCCTCTATCTGGTCCATCTTAACAAGTCGTTTTCCACAATGGTGGTCATACAAACAAAACAAGTCGGTAACATACCAACTAAGTGGGAGAATAGAGATAGAATGAAGCAGAATGATGAAAAATGGGTCTTTATGTCCTCCAGCAGTCTAAGCCTATAGCAGCATAACTATAGAGATAGCTCAGGATAACCTGAGCCATTCTAACTATAAGCTTTATCAAACAGGAAAGTTTTAAGCCTAGCCTTAAAATATTTGACCAATCAGAGGCCTCCTGTCTGGGTCGCCTACAATGTGTGTGGGGAATATCCGCGTTAACTGCGACAAACACACAGACGACCTGGTTTTTGAGTATAAATCAGCCTTTAGATATAAAAATATCTGCACAGTAAAGAGCTAAGAAAAGAAAACACAGATGACTTGGATTATTGCACCTGCACTGCAGAGATGTGACCTGAAGTGAAAATTATACAGACGACACAGTAGTTGATTTGAAACAGCAGTTAACAGTGATTTCTTTGGTGAGGTGTTGGTGACACCGTGATTAAATAAAAAGAAGTGATCATTTAACTACAGAGCTAGACCACATTGCTGATTAGATGTTACAAAGTTCAACTTTAATGACAAAACTATCAATTAGCCTGTCATTTTCAGAAAAGTGTAGATTTACTGCCATGCAAAAAACCCTCCAAAACATCTACAGATCAAGTTAATATGAGACCGAGGGAGTCCACAAAGCTGAAGCTTGATTACATTAAGCTGAGCTGAAAAATCAAGCAAAGTGAAAAGGGGAAAAAAAGATGGAATATAAGAGAGAGAAAGGAGATTCTGATCATTGTCAGAGCATTTTAAGATCTTCCAATTATAATCATGTTTATGCACCACTAGTGTGGCTCTTGGCTTCAGTGAAGGAGGTGAGGAGCAGTAAGGTTAATCAATGCATCCCCAGGGTTCCACTGACATTTTCTTAGCTGCAGGAGGTGGTTTCCATCTCTCATTTGCTTTCCCCCCTCCATCTCCTTTTTTTTTTCCTCCAAATCTTTCTCTATAAGCCACATCTTGCTTTCTTCACCCCTTACTATATTTTAAAACAGCAAAGTGATGCTAAAAGCCTCCTTTTTCTTGCATATTCCGTCTGTAGAGCGTAATCTCTTTACACTTGTGTGGTCTAGCCTGGACTATTTTCAGCTAAGGTGATGGGTGGGCCTCACTTATCGCAGTATTTACCAAACAGATTGGGATTTCTGCATGGACCCGAGCAAAGGCCAGCCTGCTGCTCGGAGCTGCAGCGACGACAGAGAGAGCGAGAGAGAAGGAGGGGAAGGATGGCCAAGACCCAAAACGCCTAACCTGTCACAGACCTGCCCCCTCCGGGCAAGCACGTGTGTCTGACTGAGATACAGGGAGGGAGAGAGAAAGATAATCAGCGCTACCGCATACAAACACACACCCCAACACAAACACCAACACATATGCAGCCTGAAGTGCTCCAAAAGCCTGGTGAGTCACCCTACTTAAAGCAGCCCTGAAATAGACATTTTGCGCCTCGCCACACTGACTCAGTAACAGAACTATCTTCCCTTCATGGCCTGCACATGCTCGCGCTCGTAAATTGATGCTTTTTGATCCACTGCTTTCCACAAGCATGCATTACAATTTTCCAAGACCAATTTCAGAGGTGTCCTCTGCGTTCTGCCTGGATGAAAGGTAATAGGAGCTTGTTTGACTTCTTTTTTTTTTATAGTGAAGTGTCCCATTACCTGCCGTGGAGCAGGTTAGCTTAAGTCGTTTATCATACCTGTAATAAAAAAAGGAAAGCCATGTGGCTCCGGCCTCCTGCTCCGAGTTGGCAGGACAAACACGTGTTTGTCCAATCGGAGACAAGAATGACACAGGCCATTAGTGAAGCCCGGCAGACGAACAGATCAGCCACACAGTGCTAGGGGCTTGTTAGCGCCTCTCCACATGTGTGACGACATTCGAGTTGAGGCTGAAACAACTCGAGTGATCTGGAAGACCCCAGCAACACCTGTCTGCCCTGGCGCTCCGAATGTCCTCACCACGGTTACAGCTGCCACGGCAGCGGAGCGGAGGCTGCCTGGGCAACGGGCGGATACTCTGGCAGGGGTTACAGTGGCTCAGAGCTGCTGGAAGGACTTCTGGAAGATGGGAAGTGTGACTGTTTGGACATTTTGTCATTATTACCCCCCTCCCCAAAGGAATTAGCGAATTCACAGAAAAAAAAAAACAGCTTTACAAATCCAGATAGAAACTGGAAATAATAGCAGATCCCAGGTTCAGTTCTGCTGCACCAAATTAGCATTTATAGTCAAAACAAGTTGGTGATAATACCCATTTAGCATCCATCATCACCATGATGACGGGTGGATATGAATCACAGGAAAAGTTATGGTGGCTCTAATACAAAGATTTTTTAAGCTCATTTTTATGGCTTCGTTTTACAAATATCCCCTGGCTTAGGAAGAGATTTTACAAACATTTATTAAAACAAAAATATCACAGAGATCAAGAGATAATTTAGGATCTTTGTAAATCTTCAGAAAAGAACAAGGAAGATAAATGAGAATTCAAATATACGGTGAAGATCAGAGGGAAGTCTGTAATTAATAAAGTGACTCTTTAGGTTCCAGGTTAAAAGGAGAAAAGTGTTGGATGCTTAATGCAGGATCGGCTTAGAAATAATATTCCTGACTATTAAAATGCTCAGAGCAAAATGAACAACACATTTTTATCAACAGTTCAGCTGGAAGGAACAAATGACAGAATAACTGTTAGCCATCTGAGAAGGAGTATTAGGGCCGCGCTAGAGATAAAAAAAAAATATATATATATTAGGGCTGTCAGTTTTAAAGCGTTATTAACGCGTTAACTGCTTTAGACTGTAACGCCGACATTTTTTTTTAACGCACGTTAATCGCGCATCAAAACAAACGCACCATGCGCTTTTGTTCTTTACTTTTCCGCAGCGCTCACTGTACTGTTTGTTTTACCCTCGGCGCTTTCCGTAGCTTCAGGAACGCTAAGTTTTAGGAGAGACCGCAGCATAACAGACCCGTGCTTTGAATGAGCAAAAATGGCCAGCAGACAAGGTATCCTGAATGATAAGTTTCATTTTAAAGTTATCCCAGAGTCCTATGTCTATGTTGTCCAGAAGAAATGAGCGTCTCACTGGCTTAGTGCAGAAATAAATTAAGTCATGTGGACTGCACTGCTGCTGCAATTCCTGTTCAGACCAAAGGAATATTAAAGCATTTTGAAAATGTTCTACATGTAAAATGTTATGTTGTTGAGATGACTGCAAAGCCCAGTTATTGTAAATTCATTTGATTAATTTATTATTTTGTGAGTAACTTCATTTTATTTGAATTAAGTCTGAATTTCATAATGGAATGTGCACTTTATTTTAACAGTACATCTTTATTTTTTTCCTATGTTTGAGAAAAAACGTAATTTTATGGAGTTCTTTGAAGTACTGTTTACTGTTCTGTAGATTTGTAATTTTTTTTTTACAATTTTTGAATAATTATTGGCCGGAATTTAAACCAGGATATTTTTATTCTAGTTTTTTAAAAGTGCTTTAAAAAAATAATAATTAAAAAAACTTATTGTATAAGCAAGTTTTTTTTACATTATTGCACATTTGCATTTTTTAAAATGCCCAAATAAAATAAAAAGATAAAATATGCGATTAATTTGCGATTAATCTTGAGTTAACTGTTGATATTATGCGATTAATCGCGATTAAAATTTTTAATAGTTTGACATCACTAATATATATTTTACAACAATAAAGTCGCAACGACAATAGTCATAACAATATGACAATAAAGTCATAAAATTATGAGAATAAAGTTGTGAAATCACAAGAATAAAGTCGTAATATTTTGAGAATGAAGTCACAATGAGAATAGTCATAAAATTACGAGAATAAAGTTATATTTTATGACAACTCTTACAAGAAGTAGCCTACTTTATTCCTTAGCTGGTCAGCTAGCTGGGTGGAGCTTCAAGCTTTCCTTCTGAAAGAAAGAAGTCATATTATGATGACTTAATTCTCATAATATTACAAATTTATTCTCGGAATAATGCAACTTTATTCTCAAAATAAAAAATAAAATTTTAAAAATCTCTTTCCTGTTCCTAATACTCCGACGTAGCCATGTGCTCCCTATGCAGTGGTTTTCTTATTATCTTTGAAAGAAAAACATGTTAAACAGAAAGTTTAAGAGTAAATTTCTTAGATTAATTTCAAATGTTTTTTTTTTATGTTTTCAATTTTTTAATCCCTAGATTATATATATACATAATCTCATCTGTAAAACCTAATTTGGAAAGAATTCATATT